TTAGAGTTTTATGACTCAATTTGAGAAAGAAAAAAAAAGTACAAAATTTAGATACATTTAAAAGTATAAATTTTATTAAAAACTTCAAAATTACACCAAATATAAAAATATAAAAAAAAATCGTTTATTTTTTTATTTTTTGTATTTATAGATTTTTTTATCAATATTTTACTTTTTAATTATATTTAGATTAACTGAATTTAAAAATTAAAATTTTTAATTAAAATATTAATAAAATTCACTTAAAACAAAAAAAAATGTATTGAAAATTCAAAAATAACTTTTGCAATTCTAAATCAAACATAGTATTAGTTTTTCAAATTTAAAAAACAAAGATATATTATTTTTTATTGTCATAAATAAATAATTGAATATCTATAATGATTGTTCATCACCATACAAACTCTATCTCATGACAATCCAGCACTATACAAACTCTGTCTCATGATTGTCCATCACCATTATTGTGGCAATAAGATTTTAGATCTACTGACACTCATTTAGATCCATCACAAGTCTTTATTTTTTTTACCTTTCTCTTTATGGCTCTTTGTCTCTATTTTGTCGATAAAAAAATTAAAATTTGATTCCTCTGCAATTCTACGTCATTGCAGGCCTCTCTTTCGCTATACGGAAATGTCCCACTCCCCCTGTAGTATTTGACATTCCTAAGGCTATCATGTGGTAGTGACAGTGACAATGATGATGATGATGGTTGCAGCAATATTAGTGATGATTGTAGCGATTGTGAGGTTATAATGGTGTATGTTGATGCTTGTGTATAAATATTTTTTATAAATTCAATTAGCATTAAATAATTATGTAATTTTATGTGAAAAATTCATCACAATTTAAATGAATTTTATCCTACAAACTCAATTATAATTGGATTCAAATGGATTGGACAGAAGGTACCGCCTCTTGCACCAACACCACCAAATTATGAAAATGACTTTTAAATAATATATACTTTGCAAAAAAATATAAAAATTCTCATTTAGAATTATCTTGAAACTATGAATATAGCGATCCCGGTTTCGTTCAGACTCTTGTGGCATCCCGGATTCGGGTTTAATGCTTCCTTATTGTTGTTTACCTCTTATTTCCCTTGTATCTCCTTGAAATTGGTCTTTGGGTGGTTATAGTTGTGTTTGAACAGGTTGGTTGTTTTTGCCAAACTTGTTGCCTAGAATTTTGGTCTTCCACTCGAGCGTCCATTCTCACGCTCGAGCGGGCTTTGCAAACTCTTAGTATTTTTGCAGAGCTGCAAATAATAGAAGAGTGTATTCTGCGCTCGAGCGGCGTTTCCTACGCTCGAGCGGTGTCCTTCGTCTGCAAAACTGCTGGAAGAGTGTATTCCACACTCGAGCGGCACTTTTCACGCTCAAGTAGAACCTTGTGTCTAACGCTCGAGCGTCGCTTTTCACGCTCGAGCGGACTGCATGTATATAAGACCAAAAGAAGGCATTTTTACATCACTTTTCAGATCTAAATCAAACATAGTATTAGTTTTTCAAATCTAAAAAACAAAGATATATTATTTTTTATTGTCATAAATAAATAATTGAATATCTATAACGATTGTTCATCACCATACAAACTCTATCTCATGACAATCTAGCACTATACAAACTCTGTCTCATGATTGTCCATCACCATTATTGTGGCAATAAGATTTTAGATCTACTGACACTCATTTAGATCCATCACAAGTCTTTATTTTTTTTACCTTTCTCTTTATGTCTCTTTGTCTCTATTTTGTCGATAGAAAAATTAAAATTTGATTTTTCTGCAATTCTACGTCATTGCAGGCCTCTCTTTCGCTATACGGAAATGTCCCACTCCCCCTGTAGTATTTGACCTTCCTAAGGCTATCATGTGGTAGTGACAGTGACAATGATGATGATGATGGTTGCAGCAATATTAGTGATGATTGTAGCGATTGTGAGGTTATAATGGTGTATGTTGATGCTTGTGTATAAATATTTTTTATAAATTCAATTAGCATTAAATAATTATGTAATTTTATGTGAAAAATTCATCACAATTTAAATGACTTTTATCCTACAAACTCAATTATAATTGGATTCAAATGGATTGGACAGAAGGTACCGCCTCTTACACCAACACCACCAAATTATGAAAATGACTTTTAAATAATATATACTTTGCAAAAAAATATAAAAATTCTCATTTAGAATTATCTTGAAACTATGAATATAGCGATCCCGGTTTCGTTCAGACTCTTGTGGCATCCTGGACTCGGGTTTAATGTTTCCTTATTGTTGTTTACCTCTTATTTCCCTTGTATCTCCTTGAAATTGGTCTTTGGGTGGTTATAGTTGTGTTTGAACAGGTTGGTTGTTTTTGCCAAACTTGTTGCCTAGAATTTTGGTTTTCCACTCGAGCATCCATTCTCACGCTCGAGCAGGCTTTGTAAACTCTTAGTATTTTTGCAGAGCTACAAATAATAAAACAGTGTATTCTACGCTCGAGCGGCGTTTCCTACGCTCGAGCGTCAAATCTCACGCTCGAGCGGTGTCCTTCGTCTGCAAAACTGTTGCAAGAGTGTATTCCACACTCGAGTGGCACTTTTCACGCTCGAGTAGAACCTTGTGTCTAACGCCCGAGCGTCGCTTTTCACGCTCGAGCGGACTGCATGTATATAAGTCCAAGAGAAGGCATTTTTACATCACTTTTCAGATCTTACTCTCTCTCTCTAACTTTTCAAAAACTCTAAATTGGAGCCTCTCACTCTAGAAAAACTCTCTCTCTCTCTCTCTCTCTCTCTCTCTCTCTACATTTTGATCTAGATCCATTGATTTCTTGGCCTATGTGCCTTTGTTAAAAAGGTAGAGCTCGCTTTGGGCTACGCTTCTAACCGAGTAAAAGTTGGAGTCGGCGTCTTTGGGTGTTTCCTCTTTATCCCTTGGTCTTCTAAGCTTGAGGTAGAGACTTTCTACACTTTGTTATGATTTTTAGCTTAGTTATTTGTGGTTGTGTAACAATGGTGGGTTTTTGGAGGATTATGAACAAACCTAGGGTTTGGGTTATAAAATCAAAAGAGGGGTTTTGAGTAAATGTGAAATAGATGGTCATGGGGTTTAATGTAAGGTTGTGTTGTGGCCAAATGCTTGATTTAGGCCACTTGGGTTGCTATTTAAAAAGGGGAGTTTTGCCCTAAATGATTCTAATATTTATTTTGCATAAATAAATGAAATTGGTGTTGTAAATATGAAATTGGATGGTTATTGGTAGAAATTGTGGAATTGGATATGCATTATCTCATACCATACCTATAGAAATTTGAATAATTTATCTGTCGAGGTTGAACATCTTTATCTATTGAGATTGAATATCTGTTTAGAAATATCTGTATTGGGCTATCGGTGGAGGATAGCTATGATTGTTGTAAAAATTGCATGATGATTAGGTAAAATGAAACTAATCTCTTGTTGATTGTCATTGAACATGACTATGTTAAAATACATTGTATATGCTTAGGAGGAGATAGGGGATGTACTCCATTGTTTGGGAGGAGATAGGTGATCGACTCCATTGAAATTAAGTTGGTCGGAGTGTCCAGGGTGAAAGTCCCGAAATCTTGTATATACATAGGTGCCGATTTCCACGGATGAAATTTTCGTAAAATGGCAGCTTGAAGTGTGTTGTGTGGTAATTATGTTAAGTTGAGAACCACTGAGTTGTAGTCTCAGTTAGGTTATTGAAAGATAATGAAATAGGCTCATAAATTGAGAAGAATGAATTAACTTGAAATAAATTGAAGGAAAATGAATTAAGGAGTTATGAAATGTTACAACACAAACTGATATGAACGGAACTGGGATACAACACTTTGTATAATTTGATTTGGAGAAAGAAGAGGAAATGGTTGTATCTTTGAGCAGGGGTCAAGTGCATCATGTTTATAACCTTGTTAAATTTCATATATTGTGATAAATTGTTTCTACTGGGCTTTAGCTCACCTTACTTGGGAAACCATTTTCAGGTGTTAGTGACATGCCTCCGCCAAGGCAACAGCTTGAAGGGACTTTTGGGAGCAAGAGCTTCTTTATTTTTGTTGTATATTTTTGTATAGCCAAGGGCTTTAAACTATAATGAGCTAGGCTCACTTTTGGTGTAACCAAACAATGTCTTGAAAAGATGTAAGCCTGTTGGGCACTTATTTTGTTGATCATTAACTGTATCACATGCTATAGATTCAAGATGAGTCATTTATGAATGTATAATGCATGTGATAACTTTTGTAATACAAACTCTGTTGAATGAAAGCTTATCATTTCTATTATTATTTCTCTTATGAGTTTGACTTGTAGTTTTATTTTGGGGGCATTACAATGAAGTATGGATATGTCGACAAACATGCCATACCCATAGCGGTTAGTTACCAAATTATGAAAAAAAATTTCCACTCAATTTTAAAATTACTATTAGTTAATCAGATCTATTGAAATTAATTAGAGTAATAAAATTACTAAAATTGTGTCGCCAAAAGCTTCAATTGTTAAGCTACTAAAATTTTAGTCACCTAAGATATAATATTTTTAGTTTTGGCTACTAAATATTTAGTCACCAAAAGATTTTTTTTTTTTTTTTGGAGGGGGGGGGCTACTAAATCATTAGTCACCTAAAGTCTTATTTTTTGCGGCTACTAAATATTTAGTCGCTAAAAGATTTATTTTCATTTAATTCTTTTTTTAGCTATTTACTATTTAGTCGCCAAAAGATTTATTTTCATTTAATTCTTTTTTTAGCTACTAACTATTTAGTCGCTAAAAATATTTACTCAATTTTTGGTTACCAATTGTTTAGTCACCAAAAACATCATTTCATGTTTTTTAAAATTAATTTGTCCACACCCATAACCTGTATGTATTCCATGCAATCTGTATGAGGTATACAAACAAAGCAATACATATATTATTACCCATTCCACAATCTACATCCATTTCATTTTGAACTATCTAAAAATGAATAACTTTAAATGTCAAATTCCATACAAATCAAGTATATTTCAATTTAAAATAATAATTCCGTACAAAACAAATAATCATACGAAAATCATATCCTCCGTACACAAAAATATATTTACTACTATGCCAAATGACCATTTGGCATGGTACAAATTACCATGGTAATCTGTACCACGACAAAAAGTAATCTATATGTCACGGCAATAATTGTCTGTTCCATGCCAAAAGTATTATGTACCCCGCCAAAAGTATTATGTACAAGTAATACAAATCCACACAAAAAGCAAAGGGCAACAAAAAAGTGGGATTATACGAATGTGAAAATTGTCCTCCGTACACAAATGGAATATCCACAAGTCCATGCCAAAAGCCATCTACAAAAAAAAAAAAAAAAAAAAAAAAAAAAAAGCACATGACAAAAGTGCTTTGTCATTCTAGAAGGAAAAAAGAAAAAGAAAAAAAGAAACAACAATATGTTGGAAGAATCATGTGTACCCTAAAAGTTGTTAGACGGTGTCTTGAATGTGATTGATTTATATTGTGGGGTCTATCATATTTATGTTGGTGTTTTGCTTAACAATATGGAAAGTAATAGTTGGTGATTGATGTGGGACAGCACATGGCCATGCCACGTGATAACCTATTTGTACCCAATTTTTCCCCCTCCAATAGGAAAAATTGTTATATGCAGGAAGGGTACCACGTGGTATTGTCATGTAGTATTCTAAACCAATCACCAAATGCCCTTCCTTCATGTTGATAGGCAAACACTAACATAAATATAATAGACCCTCCATGTAAACCAAGCGCAACAGTGAGCACTATGTGAGAATACCCTTTTGCTTATCCAATAACTCCTCCAATAGAGATGCTATATGCGATAATAAATGGTGATACATCTTTTATAATTCGTAAAAGATCTCAGATTGTTTAGATTGAAAACATGCAAATAGTTTAAATTGAAAATAAATCAGAAATTTAATATTTAAATTTATAAAATTAAAAACTCGATAGTTTATTTTGTTACAAGTATTAAATTTTAAGTTTTTTTTTTTAGTTAATTTTTCCTAAATTTTGATGATACCTATAATTATTCAAACAAAATTGACTTATGTGTGGTGGCGCAGCATACACTGTTTCTAATATATTCATGTTCCCCATGATTAATTAAATGTTGAGGATGCATTAAATTAATTAATTAATTGACATTATACGTAGAAATTATAACTACATTTTAATCCTAACATTATTTACGTCGTGCCTTCAGGCACGGGCATACGCTAGTATATATATATGTCACAAAGCTATGGATTTGATTCGCTTTTACAAACCTCTCCCAACTTTTTTTTCGACTAAGTTTAAGGCATTTTTTACTCTAATTCCTAACTTCCTGTGCTAATTACATGTCCTCTGCCCCATAGGTTCAATTTTTTATGAGAAAGCTGCCCGTGACCTCCATAGAGTGGTTCGGGAGCTATTTTGCATTATTACCCCCCAAACGGCCTTTTTCGACTAAGTTTAAGGCATTTTCAACTCCCAATGTACGTGTGCTAATTACATGCCATCTTTGCCCACAAGTCCTATCTGTCACGAGGAACCTGCCCGTAACATCCACAGAGTGGTTTGAGGCCTGTTTTGCATTTTCTCTCCCCCAAATGCCTTTCTTCGACTTAGTTTAAGGCGTTTTCGACTCAAACTCTAAATACATTCCGTTTGTCCCCACAGGTCCTATTTGCCATGAGGAAGCTGCCCGTGACACCATAGAGTGGTTCGGGGGCAGTTTTGCATTTTGGCCCCCCCAATAGCTTTTTTCGACTAAGTTTAAGACGTTTTCGACTGTAACTCCCAATGTACTTGTGCTAATTACATCCCGTCTGTCCGCACAAGGCGTATTTGTCATGAGGAGCCTTGCCGTAACATCCACAGAGTGGTTCAGGGGCTGTTTTCCATTTTTGCCCTTTGAATGCCTTTTTTCGACTAAATTTAAAGCATTTTTTACTCCAACTCCTAACCTACGTGTGCTAATTACATACCGTCTATCCCCACATGTCCTATTTGTCATGAAAAAACTGTCTGTGACATCCATAGAGTGATTTGGGGGTTATTTTGCAATTTTGCCCCTTGAACAACCTTTTTTGACAAAAGTTTAAGGTTTTTCGACTCTAACTCCCAATATACGTGTGCTAATTACATCCTGTCTATCCCTACAGGGCGTATTTGTCATGAGGAGCCTGGCCGTAACATCCACAGAGTGGTTCGAGGGCTGTTTTGCATTTTTGCCCCTCTTTTCGACTAAGTTTAAGGCATTTTTGACTCCAACTCCTAACCTACGTGTGCTAGTTACATGCCGTCTGTCCCCACATGTCCTATTTGTCATGAAGAAGCTGCCCGTGACATCCATAGAGTGGTTCGGGAGCTGTTTTGCATTTTCGCCCCCCGAACGACCTTTTTCGACTAAGTTTAAGACGTTTTTGACTCTAACTCCCAATGTACGTGTGCTAATTACATCCCGTCTGTCCCCACATGTCCTATTTGTCACGAGGAACCTGCCCGTAACATCCACAGAGTGGTTCAAGGGCTGTTTTGCATTTTCGCCCCCTGAACGCCTTTTTTCGACTAAGTTTAAGGCGTTTTTGACAAAGTCATGAAAGTAATTGGACACCATTTTTAAAACCTGTAGATAAATGCAGGCTACTATTCCCAACGTGCAGATGTAAGTCTTACCTCTTCTACACATTCTCTTTTAATTGGCCTATGAAACAATTGCCTGAGGTTTCTTCTGGGTAGACAAGCTAGAATCATTTACAAAAGGAAGTGCACAGGCACTTTTGGTATTGTGCATTCAGAGGTATGTAAAATATTGCTCAAGAAAACTTATTTTAGAAATGAAACTACTTGGATTAGTTGCTGTAAGATTCTTTTGTTTTCTTCTTGGTATAATATCCTTGAGAGGGAACAAGTTGAAAAGCATGCCTTGATCATAATGACCTATATTTTGGAGTATGTGCAGGAAGTTTTGTTTTTCTTGTGAGACTTTAGTTTAGTGTTTTTTGAGCAAAATGGATGGGAAATAGTTCCCACATGAAGAGACGTTTCTCATTGAAGCATATTGTCTTCTTTTTCATTTTTAAATCTTACTCTGTGAATGGTGAACCTTATAAATTTGAAACTAAGGTTTCTTCTCCTCTCTAGATTCACTTCCCTCTCTCTTGCCTAAACCCGAGGAAAGGGTATATAAGCAATACCTTTGGACTTGTAATCACCTATAACCTCAACTCCACTATTGTTGAAATGGAGATTTGAAGTATGAATGGTAAATAAAGAAACATATCAGAGTTTCATGGACTTGATTAGCAAGCATTTCTAATTCATTATTAAAAGAATGATTAATGTGAGAATATGTTTGATGCATTGTGTCTGCATGATATAATGAGATGGTTGGTGGCTGACCACTAGCCAAGGACATACCTGTTACTATATTGTAGCGGAAAAAAAAGCTTTCCTCCATGTTTCATGGCCTTTGAGTATGAGGTCGGGTAACAGTAAGCCAATAGAAATGTGTATTAGTATATAAGGCCTGTGCTGAAGTTTGCATTTAATTGTTCAAGTTGTTGTACCTTTCGAGTTTAAAATGATGGTTACTTAGAAGGGATAAGTCATGGCAAAATTTCCTTTTGTGTTTTTAGTGTCACAGTCAAAAAGAACAATTAGAAATAAGAAACATAATGAAAGGGGGAAATATTAATTACAACGAAAGAGAAAATGGTCTCCCACAGTTTCAGCTTCTATTTCTTCTTTTCCTTAATTGGTTGGTTTACATGGTGATGAAGCATGTCATTCTGATTCACTGTCTATTTTTGGTTCCTCAAACAATCTGTGATATATTTATTTTTATGTATAAATAGCAGAGCAATAGCTAACTGGTAGCCTGCCTTGAGATTTGTGATTTGAACTATTTAGAGTTGAAGCCAAACATTGAAAAATAAGAGATGTAAATTATTCTACATGAAATTATTTTCAGTGTAAATTATATTACATCAAAACAAATGGAGCCTAAAACAGACAGAAATTTCCTTGAAGCAAAAATACCTCTGTAATACTCTCTTCATTGAGAAAGCTACACTAAGAGCAAAAATAGAGTTTCTAAAGAAAAGGTCTTCAGGCTAAAAAAGGAAAAAAACCATAACTTTTTTTTAACATACAGCTCATTAACCATGGTTATTCTTCTTTTCCAGCCAATTTGTTGCTTCTAGTTCTTTTTCATCAAGGTAAAATACATGCAACTCATGACTAAAATATATTCACATGTCCATAGAGTCATGAGGAAGCTGCCACGTCCTATTTGTCATGAGGAAGTTGCCCGTGACATCCATAGAGTGGTTCAGGGGCTGTTTGGCATTTTCACCTCCCGAACGCCTTTTCTTGACTAAGTTTAAGACATTTTTTACTCCAACTCCCAACCTACGTGTGCTAATTACATGTCGTCTGTCCCCACAGGTCCCGTGTGTCACGAGAAAGCTTCCCGTAACATCCATAGAGTGATTCGGGGCTGTTTTGCATTTTCGCCCCCAAACGCTTTTTTTGACTATGTTTAAGGCATTTTTTACTCCAACTCCCAACCAACGCGTGATAATTACATCCCGTCTGTCCCCACAGGTCTTATGTGTCACGAGGAAGCTATCTGTGAGATCAATAGAGTGGTTCGGGGGCTGTTTTGCATTTTTACCCTCCGAACGCCTTTTTTCGACTAAGTTTAAGGCATTTTTTACTCCAACTCCCAACCTGCATGTGCTAATTACATGCCGTTTGTCCCCACAGGTCCTATGTGTCACAAGGAAGCTTCTCGTAACATCCACAGAGTGATTCGGAGGGCTGCTTTGCATTTTCGCCCGTTGAACGGCTTTTTTCGACTAAGTTTAAGACATTTTTTACTCCAATTCCCAACTTACGTGTGCTAATTACATCCCGTTTGTCCCCACAGGTCCTATGTGCCATGAGGAAGCTATCCGTGACATCCATAGTGGTTCGGGAGCTATTTTGTATTTTCACCCCCCGAACGCCTTTTTTCGACTAAGTTTAAGGCATTTTTTACTCCAACTCCCAACCTACGTGTACTAATTACATCTTGTATGTCCCCAAAGGTCCTATGTGTCATGAGAAAGCTACCCTTAACATCCATAGAGTGGTTCGGTGGCTGTTTTACATTTTTGCCTCTTGAACGCCGTTTTTGACTAAGTTGGATTATTTATGTTGGATTATTATTATTTTTTAATTAACTTAAATAAATGTTTGCGAAAACCAAGCTTGCTGTGCTAATCTGCTCTATGTGAAACCCAACCATTTAGGCACTCTGTTTAACTATTTCATAATTGATAAACTGCCAGTGAGTATTCCTAATCAATTCAGGGAAAATGAATATTTCATAAAAAACATGTGCTTAAACATTTACACATCAAAACCTATTGACAGTATGGAAACAAAATTTCAAATTAAACAAAACCCATAAGCAACAATGAAAATGATATACACAAACCATTTATTTATAAACAAGACATGTCTAACTTGACAATACCCCAAACTTTGAACTGAGTATGCAAATGAAGAATTTTCAGATCAATTCTTTGATGCTAATGCTTTTTACTGTTAAGAACATAAATTTCATGAACACAGCCGAAGCATATTAAAATGAAAGTGAGAACTCAAAACCTTAATGAATATCCTATTGGCTTGAATTCAAAACAATAATGACAATATCATCATGACACATGGGAACATGTTCCCCATGGTGCACCCAAGTTCTATAAGAACACGCAATTCCTCTTCAAATCAAGTGCAACCATACAACTTGTCGACTAAATTTTGTGTCATTCAAGCAATCGACACACAGACAACGAATGTCATCATGTGGACCTAAATTCTTCATAGCAAATTCAATAAATGACTGAATACCTTGTTGATACTCTTTACTTTTCAACCTATCTTTTATCATCATCCAACTCTTGTCCATCTTTCGAACCCTACAAACCAAGCACAAATACAACATGGGAATGGACAACACATAGAAAAATACTCAATAATGGAAAATCCACAGTACACAAGATTTGTGGATAGTAGAAGATCCTATTTGTCCTATTCTCTATTTTATAAGCTTTTTCTGAACTGTAGGCCAAATCCTAATAGTGAACTTAGAATCAACATCATACTAAAATGAATATATGAGCACTAAATAAATCTTCTATCATAGAGGTGCCAATGTAAATTGGTATGTTCAATACTTTTTTTCTCACAACATAATTAAAAGAAAAGGACAGAGTGCTAAAATAAGAAAGAAAGTAAAGCATGAATAGGGAATTTCATTACACAATATTACACAATAATATACACAAATCGATCTAATTTTTTAAAAAAAATAATATACACAAAATTACACAATATTTTTTACAAAAAAAAATATTCAAATTATAAAACCAGACTCGTAATAGACCGGCCATACAAAGGTCTCAAATTTTCTGAAATTCATATTTGAATTCCAAAGACATAAAAAATAACTTTGTAGAGAATGAATTCAATAGAGAGGTCGTTACTACAATGTTGAATTTAGAATAGGCAGAATTACCCAAAAAATTTAGAATAGGCAGGACTTACGAGTAACATAGACCATTTGACATACCATGAACCAAACAGTTTGTATAACAACCTTGTCAAGCTACTACTGCTGCTCATAACAGTATACAGAGCACCTAGCAGCTACAAGAACTCAACAACAACTCTTTAGTGTTTAATGTGCCACTCTTTAGTACCAAAACTGGATTGCAAATGCACTAAATTAATAAGCCTCAATCAAAGATGAAATAAGAGGAATCAAAGTCAGGTTAACACCTTGCAGGCTTGCATCGTATATTCATATGCAGCTGAATAAAAAGAATGAAACTATGATTACAACAGTGGCAAAATGCCAAGTGCCAGTCCACTTATTTGTGCATAAATTAAAATGCAGAATTATGTTTTTATAATTCATTTGAAAGGGAAAATTAATGCTAAGTGCCAGTCCATTTATTTGTCCATAAAACTAAAATGCAGAAATATGTTTTTATAATTCATTAGAAAAGGAAACTTACTACTTTTATTTTATTTTTTTGGTACAAGGAAAATTTCTTTATACCAATAGTCCATTAAAGAATTAAGCACGTATTGACAAGAAAAGCCAACTAAAGACATAAGTCTGAGCAAAAACCTATGACAATCCATAACTACTGCTGCATCAGCCTGCATATTATTTACTTCGTGTACAATTTAATAGGGAATTTATTGAATCTAAACAACATGAAGTAATATGAGTACAAACCCACACTATTGAACTCCAAAGACAGAAGAACAAACATTAACATACAAAATTCAATTAAGAGTTATTGGAATTATCAAATTTGATTTGCACACAGAACCAGAGTCTGGAAAGACAAAGCTCGAAGTCGGGGGAGTCCAGCCCCACCGATTGATCGCACCTGCCCGCCCAATCATACATTCTAGAATAATGTATGATTGGGTTTTGTGTTTCTCAAACTCTACAAAGCCTGATGGTTTTTGCTCTAGCAAGAAAAGCACAAAACAAAGAAAGCCCAAATCATAAATCTATTTTACCATAAATCATTTCTTAAAAAATAAACTAGTTGAAAACGGGCTCTGCGCGTGGGGGTCGCGACGTTGTTAACGTAGATAATTGAAATATATCCGTAAGATTATGTATAGAGAAAAAAATTAATATAGTACATTTTTATTAAGAGAAATGAAATAAATGACAGTAATTATATGCGATATATGTATGTGTGTCCTTGCTTGTCGCTTTGAATAGCCAAGCAACTACTGATTTATTTGAAAACAATACTCCATTAATTTTACTTTCTAATTGCCTTGGCAATGTTGTAATTCCCTATTGTAGACAGAAACTATATACACACAAGCATCCCTTTCTTTATGGTAAGTCAAAAATATTTCAGAATATACTTTAAGGATATGGAGCAAAACTTCACATGCATGAAATATTTTATTCTTTTTTTTTTTAGAGGAAAAAACATGATCTACAAAAGAACATTAAACCAAAATTCTGGAAAAAGGATTCTCATGGACAACGCCAAAGAAAAAAGAGACTGAATGATCGAAGGGATATGGATCAAAACTTCACATTCATCATGCATGGCTGCACTGCATCTCTAATTAATGCACAGAGCAAACTGGATTGCCACTCAAATCAAGAAGTATTCATATACCTTTATAGGTCCAGAACTGAAGTCCCAGCCTATGTCGGTATCATAATGTGCGTCAAATGCACCCCAGTTTCGTTCATCAACACTTCTGTCCCCAGAGAACACAGATTCAACACTCCCGTGTTCAGTGCACCAATAAAATCATGTAGAAATTCAGATTTTCGAATAAAACAACAGGTGTAGATAGATGCCATGCAATGGTTTAAAGGTTCAGACACCAATAAAAAATTTCAAATCCAACGCAGAAGGAAAATATAAAAAAGATGCAAATTGAAACATGCACCTCTGAGTCTCTCTAGCATGGGGTGAACCATCTGCACTGAAGTTCTACGCTGTCTTCGCTATGAGCATCATCGGCAATCCTTTCCCCTCCACTTGGTGGCGTTTCTGAGTTACGATCAGCATTTGTTGATGAAACATGTACACCCTCTTTTGTGGAAGATGCTTTACTGACAACTGAAGAGGAGCTACAACATTTTCCACATCAAGAGTGAGCTCTTTGACTGTGAAACTTGGAAGTGGCAAGAGTTCATCAAAATTACAATACAACTACAACTTGCACATCTTGGCTTCACATTCCCTATACCAGAAAATTTTTAATCCACAAAACATTTAGGCCAATCAAAAAAGGGAGGCATTAGATGCATTATAAATGACAAGAAGAGTAACAAGTAGTGCAGACACTCAAAGATCCATCATCAAACACTTCTTGACAAAAAGATACTCAAGCTAAATGTCCACTTAATCCTATATGAAAACTGTTTGACACACCTTCATCCTCAAACTTGTCCCAATTTTCATCCCAATCAGCTGCCCCTTCTTGGATTCCAGGTTGCCAACCTGAAGAAAATCAACAAAAAGGAAGAAAGAGGAAATTACAGAATCAAAACACAATGAAAATAAAGTAGAGCAGGGAAAACTGATTTTCAGCTAATTCCTTGCTAGGAAACTTGTCTATAGTATATATGTCAATGTATGGGCAACAACTTCACAATCAACCGAGGGTGTTGAGAGGGGTGGACTAAACATCAAGTTTATCCAACAGATTCATTTGATTACAAACTCAATCTGCCAAATAAATTTTAAAAGTATGGGCTCAATCCATGAAGAGCAAATATTGGGATAGAAAAATTAGTTAAAAAAAATTTCTTATACCGTGAGCTTATCACCTAGCTAATGGTTTCTCTCACATATTTGAATCAAATCTCATTAGATACCAATGATGAATTTTGACCATGATACTTAGAGATGTTCAAAAAGTTTAAGCAGGCAAAGATGGAATACAAAACACAGTATATTAGTTAAGATAGGGCACAAGACGGTCGAACTCCTAAAAAACAAAAGTGTAAGGCATATTTTCATAATTCAAATGCATACAAGTATCTTTGATTTTTTGTAGAATCACGTAGAACCACTAAAATAAGTTCTTCATAATTTATGTTTGCATCTAATCTCAAACATTGAACAGAACTCAATGTAACAAAAATACCCGTTGGTCAGAGTTCAGCATGCAACCCATTCTGAGTTTGAAATAGAAATAGCATGCTGGTCTTCTCGATCCAATTGGAGATTTTAAAATTTTCAAAGTCTCATCAATGGTTCGAAGAATGCAATATGAAGTGAATGGCAACATTTTGCACCCAAAATAATAATAAATAAAGAAAAAGAAATGAATGACAAGAATCTACACAAACATTTGGAACAATTCCCTACAAACCATTGATATCAATGTAGAGAAGAAGAAGAAACGAATAAGAAGAGTTTACTCAAATATTAGGAACAACTCCTTATGAACCATGTGAAATTGTCAATGCTGAAACTAAAAATTGCATGGGGATGTTGACATTTTGTCTCAAACCATTGACATTTTGATATCAATGTTGGAACTAAAAAATACATGAAGGCCTTATCTCTTTTGAATACGTTGCTAATCATCAAAGTCCTGAGCAAGTTAGTAATACAAATTTACTAAAGAGTAACATTGTCTCAGAGACCAACACAGAATTCACTAATGAAGTGCGCGCCATGTATTTGGGTGTCATAGAATGGGGGCACATAACACACACACAAAGTTCAAATATAGCACAAAGATGAGGTTTGGCATGCATTTATATGTTTTTAATTTAAGTGGCAAAGTTTCAGTTGGTTATGTGGTCTTCAACTGGAGTGAATATTTTATATTTTCCTTGGCAATGGCAATAGTTCGTGGCCTCATTGTACCCACTTTTTTTTCTAACTAAACGGTAATCTATTCAAATCCCAACTTACTTGGGATTAAAAAACATTGCACAATCAACTGCTTTTTTAAGCATTATATTTCAAGAAAGGAAATGACTTCTATTGATAAAGATGCACCATTAAATTAAGCTATTGTGGTCTCTAATCAGTACAACCCGTGATATTAACCATCACTATACAATGAAAGCAACATGGTAGTTTTATATGCTAACCATTTTATTCCTGCTATGTATACGGTATATTTTCAACACTTCAATAAAAGCATTTTCAGAATTTGCATCATTATTCAATTTGAATCCACTTAATCTTGTACCTTTTTATTGGAATGGGCTCTATATAAATGGAATCACAAAATCTAGAAGTTACAAATAAAAGAGAAAACCTGAGGCCTCGTTTGTTTTCAGAGATAGAATGGAGGGGATTAATAGTGAGGGGATTAATAGTGAGGAATTTTTAAATTATTTTTATATAAAATAATAAAACAAATATAAAAAATTAAACATTATATTTAAAAAAAATTCCCAATATATAAAAAATAAAAAAAAATTCTAATCCTCTCACTATTTTTCTAATACCATCTCTATCTTCTCCTTACCAATCCCCCTTCCAAGGGGACTACTAATACCAAGGGATTAATAGTCCCCTCCCCATCTCTCAAAACAAACACCCCATTAGTAATACCAAGGGATTAGTAATCCCAATCCCCTCCCTATAACCCCAAACAAACAGGGCCTGAGGGAAAAAAACAGAAGCACCAAAAAGCTATCACTATTGGCTGATTTGCAATCAATGAACTGTAAGCATAGACGTAATTTAGGAAGTTGGGATATGTATAGAATTGGTTGTAAAAGACAGAATTAGAGAGTTATTAAATTCTCAAAATCAACGAGAAAATGAGATATATAGACCAATGTAGAGTCATTTGGCACAAAATTCCAAGGCCTAGATAACCAAATAGCATGCCATAAAAAAGATGCAAAAACTTTGAGAAAGATGCAATCTCCATGTAAGAAGAACAACAAAAATAAATTTAAAAAACTGAAAATCAGAAATGGAAATGGAAGGCTTTGTGTGTGCATGTGCGCGTCTCAAAATCAGAAATGGAAGGCTTCTCCATGCTTAGGCCTCGTTTGGGAACAGGCTAATTTAGTAACTTTTTGGCTATTTGGCTAAAAAGGTAGGTAAAAAAAACTTGAATGTTTGGGATGACTTTTTGGCTAATTACGAAAATATGTGCAAAAAGTAGAGAGAAAAGAGAATCTTTGACTTTTTGGTATGGGTTGTTGGCTTTTTGGCTAATTTAGTAACTTTTTGACTAATTGGCTAAAATAGCCTCTTGCCAAACGAGGCCTTAATGATGCTTTTAGTAGGCTGGTATTAGTTTTAGAGAGAAAAACAATAAACCCACCACCACATGTACACTAAACCATTAGACAACATAATTGAAAGCTTGTTGGAATTTGGATATTTATAACCCTCTATATTTGGTTGCCAATAGTAATTGTATGTATATAACTATTGTTGCTGCAATTGTGAATGCTAAAATGTTTGGTGATTCCATTTGATTTAGTTTTCATATTAAGTTCACTGGTGGTAATTGAATTTGTCTACTCAATAACTCTATCTCCTTCAGCTCCTTATTCTTTTTGTTGTTATTTGTGCAGATTTGGTGATAGGATGAGCATATCTTCAATAGCATTATACAAATCTATTCACAACTAAGGCATCTTAAGGCTTGCTCTTAAGGACATGTGATGAAGAAGCAAAAAGAGATTACAAATTTCAAGATCTTGACAATCTGTAATTGACAATGTTATTTCAGTAAATCATATGTAAACATCAATTGGCATCTCATAATCACAAAGATAAGCAACAATGCATATTAACAAAATCAGTTGTCTCTCACAGGTCTATACCAATAAAAACTCAAAGTTTACTCTTTTTTTTGTATGCTTTTTCTCTTCGGGGCTTTCTATCAATTATTATTATAATTATTATTTTGATAAATCTTTCTATCAATTATTATAGCAATCTGTTAATTTTGTTTTCTTGTGGGTAAACTATATTTAAGCACTTTTGAATTATCATTTATTATGACTTCCATATTTCCTTGTTCTTTCTAATTCAATACAATCTGGGTTTGGTAGGTTTTATGATAACTTATAATAATTTTTTTACTTTTAACTAAAATTAAAAATTATCAAACAAAATAGTTTCGATTTTAATTGAGATCCCAATAAAATTTCACCCCCACTACCTCTACACACACGTGAGAGTTGGTCATTGAATCAAAAAAATAAGGGCAAATTATAAACACCCCCTCGAGGTTTGGTAAAAATACAGATTTCCCCCTGAGGTTTGAGAAATTACATCCCGCCCCCTGAGGTTTATATTTCCATAACAAATTACCCCCTGAGGTTTTTATTTTCATACAGATTCCCCCCTAATTTGTTATGCAAATTTGACCTCCAGGGGGCAATTTGTAATTTCTCAAACCTCAGGGGGGAATTTATATTTTCACCATACCTCGAGGGGGTGTTTGTAATTTGCCCAAAAAGACGTTTAATTTCTTGAAAAGTCTAACACATATGATTATTATCAAAATATTAAACTTTAATATAATATAAAAAAGGAAAAAAAGAAGGCATTTAAAAAAAGAAAAAGAAAAAAAAGACATTTAAAAATCACAATTCACATATATAGATAATTGTAAACACAATTCGTGCATAGTACGAGTGATATGCTAGTTTAGGATAATACTATAATACACCCCTTAAAAGGTATGTATATGCCTTTGTTACATATTTTTATGATGTATATTGTGTATTTTTATGATAAATGTTATATTTTTTTAGTAGAGTTACAATACTTTTTTATTTAGAAATGAAATTATAAATTTTGTGGTAATATTATGCATTTTTGTGGTCATGTTACATATTTTTTGGTTAGAAAATATTTGGATAAAAAGATGTGTAATATTACCACAAAAATGTGTAACATTACCACAAAATGAGTAACTTATTATTGAATTATAAATTGTCATAATTTTACCAAAAATTATGTAACATTTACCACAAAAACGTGTCATATACATCACAAAAATACATAATAAGGTGAAACTCTAATGGTTTGGCCTAGTGGTATAGGTTTGGAGCTTAGGAGTTTATGTGATAACCCTGGTCCATATTATGCTAATTAATCTTAATTGTGATTGTGATTATGTGTTTGATATGATTTTGAATGCCATTTATGTGATGAAATGTGTTTTTGAAATCCTATCTGTTCACCGTAGGAAAATCTGTTTGAATTTTCTCTTATAAAAATTAAATTGAAGGCCGTAGAGGCGATAGAAGCCGAAATTGACTGTATTTTTGCGATTAGCATGATTTTTAGAGCCTACGGTGAAAGTTAATTAAAAGTTGATTCGGAATGAATTAATTAGATTAAAGTGATCAAATTAAGCACAATTGATTAGTGCTAATTAAGGTTGATTTGAAAGGTGTATATATAGAAGCTTTGAGTGCTTAAGCCCATTACATGAGCTCAAAATCTGAAAATAAACACTCTAGAGAGAGAGTGAGCCGATTCTAGAGAGAGGAGAG